CCCCTTCGTCCCTTCCCCTGCCCCTGCCCCAGCCTCAACTACACGCCAGGGAGGCCGGGCTGGGCGGTCTCTCGCCAAATGACAGCCCGCATTAATTCCTAACACAGCGGCGCGCGCGTCGAACTCGCGGGGCGGGCGTGAGCGCGCGCGTGTGCGTGTGTGTGTGCGTGTGTTTGTGTGGCGGCGTGCGTGTTACGCGGAAGGGGCAGGGGAAAACATCTACGACACGGCAGTGCCGCCGGAATGGGGTTCCATTTGCATTCTAGGCTTCCCTCGCCAGGAGGGGGCCGCTGGCCATGGCCTTCTCCAGGTACAGGAAGACTGTGGGGTCCGAGGCGGGGCCGGGGAGGGCGGCGTCCTGGTCGACGCCGAACATGTCGCGGTCCAGGCGGAAGCAGCGGCCGGCGCGCAGCTCCAGGTCGGCGTCGTCGTCCGGCCGCAGCGTCGCGCCGCGCGCCTCCAGCTCCTGCAGAGGGTGAGGCGTCGCCAAACCGAATCGAACCGAAACCGCCACTGGCGGCGGCAGACACCAGTGCAGCGGCAGCCCGCTGACCTGCGCTGAGGTCGAGGCCGAGAACCTGAGGCGGTACCGACTGCACGGCCCGGGGCCGAGGCCCTGCACGATGAAGCGCGCCCCTCCCGGCAGCTGCAGCGAGTGGACGAGGTAGACGTCAAACACCGCAGCCCCGAGGAGCACCACGTCGCTCGACCTCCGCGACGCGAACGTGTCCGAGGCCGCGGGGGCGGTGGCCCGGGGAAGACCGCGCAGGCCGCGCACCTCGACGGCGCGGTACCACTGGCCGGCCACGGCCTCGGCCTTGTGCTCCTCCAGCAGGTGGTCGCGCTGCCGGCGCCACGCCCCCGCCCACGAGCAGTCGCCCACGTAGCAGCGCACCTGCAGCAAAGCCGCACTGCCAGTCTGCCGAGACAGTACACCGTAAACCCGAGACAGGAAGGGTTGGGAAACCCTCCGACCTGCCGGTGGTGGCAGGCCGCCTCGTGCGCGGCCTTCTGCATGAAGTCCATGTCGGCGGGCGCGCGGCAGCCGTGCGGCGCGAAGCGGCAGGGGTAGCGCAGGGAGCGCGCCAGCCCGTTGAACAGCCTGCTGGGCCGCGGGCACGGCGGCAGGGGCGCGCCGCACCGGGGCACCGGGCACCGCGACACGCCGCCCACCGCGCACGCCACTGCCGAATTGAAATACGTTGAGCGAGCCCAACAAGGGCACGCGCAAGGCCAGGTCGGAAAAGCAAGACGGGCAAACGATACGCAAATGAGCGCTGGACGAACCCGGCCTGACGGGGCGGCAGTCCTGGCACAGGAAGTGGCCCTCCTCGCACTGCACGATGGGCGGCACGGTGTGGGCGGTGCAGCGCGCGCAGGACATTCGCCGGAGCAGCTCGCGGTTCAGCTCGGCGGTCATCGGGATCTGCGATCCGTCCCTCCCACTGCTAAGTCCACTGTGGGCTGCTTCGCGCAGTCACAAACTTTTGAATCTGGCTCGGCTCTTGGTGTGGGTCATTGTTTCGCTGACCTGCGGACAGCCCGCGTCGCCGTCGGCGCAGTGCGGCGGCCTGCAGGACGGCGCCAAGTGCTTCACCTTGTCGTACAGGCCGAGCCGGCTGCACTGCTGCGCGCAGCACTGCTGTGCCTGCTGGCGGGCGCGCAGTTCGCGCAGCTCGCGCGGCATTCTCGCCACGTCCCTCATCAGCAACAACCGGATACGCTCCACGTCGCCGTCCCCGCCCAGCTCCGCCAGCTCCGGCAGCACCAGCTCCGGGAACACGACGCGTCCGTTCCGTGTGACCGGGAGACGCGGCGGCACTGCTGGCAACAGCGACCGTCGTCTGAGTATCGAACCGACACCCTAGTGGGGTTCTGCCAGTGCTCTGACGGCGGGCCGGTACCGGGCAAGGCGGCGGAGCCTTCTCGAAGGACAAGTCCGTCTGGCGGGGGGTACCCGGGGCCGTCCACGTGGAGCAGCCACGCCGATACTGGGTCTTCGCGATCGCGGACCAGGTCGTCTGCCTCGTGGTACTGGGCGGAGTCGTCGGCAGCACCGTCCGAACCCCAGTCATCGGTCTCCGATTCCAGAACCAGGTCGTCACCGACTTGGTCCTGGGCCGGGGTAGCAACACGATCCCGAATCGAGTCAGCGTGCTCCCGCGGGGTGACTTGTGCCTGCTGATGTTGGCCCTCTCGTTGGCCCTCCTCGTCCCGGTCGGCTGATTGCGGCTCCGGCGGCGGTGCGGGCGGTGCGCCCGGGCTCCTGAGGGCCAGGTCGCTGGCGGCGGGGTCGCTGCCGCACCGCCGCACCGTGCTGGAGTAGAAGCGGTCGTACTCGGCGAGGCTCTCCGCCTCCAGGGACGCCAGGCTGCCCAGCGGGGTGTGCATCGCCTCCTCTGCTCTCGGCGACTCCTCCTCCTCCTCCTCCTCCTCGTCCCAATCCTGGCCGTCTCCTTTGCCGGCGTCCTCAGCGCCGTCCGAATTGGGCTGCAGGGCGATTCCGAACAGTAGTTCGTCGTTCTGTCTCTCTCGCATTCGCAGCGCCCCGCGAGTGCGAGAGAGAGAGAGAGAGAGAGAGAGAGAGAGAGAGAGAGAGAGAGAGAGAGAGAGAGAGGGGGAGCAAGAAGTGTTCGGAATCCGCCCGCTGCACCGCCGAATGAGGCAGGAGGGATCGCCTTTCAAAGCTACAGTGTCCTTTCCAAATGGGGCGGGGCGGGGACGCGACGACATCCAACAGTGCGCAGCCCCGCCTCGCCCCGCCTCGCCCCGCCAGTCAAGTCTCGTCTTTCCCCGGGACCTAAAGCGCGGCCGAATGCAGGGCACAGGAAGTGAAACAGCGATAAATGCAAAGGAGCTGCCAAGTGATTTTGCGCCCCCACCTCGGCCTCGGCCGCCTCCTCGGCCGCGGCCTGTTGCGCCTGCTTGGTCTGCATGCGGATGAGAATGGCCTCCTCGTGCGTCTCGGACGTGTGGTACACGGAGTGCAGGAACGAGTAGTTGACGTCGGACTTGTTGGCGTTGGTGCTGCTGCCGCGCGGACTCTCGGCGCCCTCGCCGCCCTCCCCGCCGGGCAGCGAGTCGCTCGCGTCCAGGAAGGGGAGGTTCTCGTCACTGCGCGCTCCTCGAGCATTAGTCCTGATTGGAAATCAGGTTTGTTGCCCGTGTTTCGCCTTTCCCTTTGACTACCTTTGCGTGCCGCGAGGTGTCTCGCTCTGCTCCGCGTCCACCTGGTCGTCGAGGGCCGCCGATGGCGGGCAGGGGGCCGGGGCCGAGGTCGGCGGCGGCCAGGGCAGCGGCGCGTGTGCCTGGTCCCGCACCGCGCTGGCGTTGATCGCACTGGCCTTGACGAACTCCAGCTCCTGCTTCATGGCCAAGAAGGTAGCGTCGGCCCAGGGCAGCGCCACCGGCACGACGCACGACACCGCCCCGCTGGCCCCTGGGTCTGGCTCCGCCCTCGGGGGCAGGGGCGGGCCGCGGGGGGCGGCGGGCAGGGCAGGCAGGGCGGGCTGGACCGAGGGTGCCATCAGAGCGGGCTCCAGTCCTGACTCTGGCAGCCCCAGCGAAGAGGCGATGTTGGTGAACGTGTGCAGGCTGAGCCTCTGGCTGGGCAGGCCGAGGCTGGGCACGGTCGAGGAGCGCTCCAGGGAGGCGCGGATGTCCTCGAAGCAGGACAGGTGTCGGGTGGGGCTTGCGGAAGGGGCCTCGACCAGAGCGCTGCACGCCAACTGCAATGGGACAACCGCACCCGCTGAACATGGCAGCCGAGTCCGATGGGTTGGACGGCAGCACTTGGACGCAAGACCACCTGCGGCGTGGACCGGTGCGGGCAGCATCCTGCCACCTGCAGCCGCCCCAGCGGGCTAGCCGGGCTAGCCGCAACCACCTCGTTCTCGCGGCACGCGCTGCCCGGCTGCGTGACGAGCACCTTGCCTGGGGCAACGGTTTTGGCCGTTTTGTGGTGCGTCCATGTTTGGGGTTCTGCAGCGCTTCGCCGGCTTTGCGGCCTTGTGGTGCCAGCGTGCCAGCAGGCTCGATTACCATCCTGGGGGGACGCAACGCCCCCGCCCCCGTCGAAGGTGCTCCGCGGCGGCAGCTGGCCGGCCTGGCCGCCGGACTGGTTGTCCATGGCCGTCATGCTGCAGAGCGGCCCACGCCGCCGGCGCCAGCCCCGCCGCCCCGCCCGCCGGACCCTGCCGGGGTGGCGAGGCGAGCAAGGTCACGAAGGGGCAGTAATCGAACCCTCGGCGGGGAGAGCATGTCCACCCACGGCTAGCCGTCGACGGGCGTCAGCAGGGGCAGCACGGCGCGGTGCGCGCAGGCCGGCCGAAACCGTCGAAACGCCTCGCGCCGGCACCGCGGACACCGCGGGTGGCCAGCCTGGCCAGCCTGGTGTGCTCATGGCGACACTGTGCGCCACGCGGTGCCACTGCGGGCGGTGCCATTGTTGGCCAGCCTGCGCCACTGCCAACCCCGGGAGGCTGCGGCCCTGCAGTGCCCTGCAGCCACTGCAGCCTTGACTGCGGCCGCACCGGCCCGTCTCAGCGACTCGGGCGTGAAAGATGCACACGCTCTCGAGCTGCCCGGTGGTCTCGTCATCGACGAACCACCCGTCGGGGGTTCCAGCCGCTCCCGTTGTCGACGCGCCGTTGGCAGCGCCGCGTCGTGGAAAAGGACGACTCAGAATGCGCGGGAAAACGACAACCTCGCCCTGTTTTTGCTGTTGCCTCACTTATTTAAGTCGATGTTTTGGCTGTGTGTTGCAGGTGGCCCCGCCGGACAGCAGCGGACGCCTCGCTCGCGTGACCCCGCCGGGCGCCGCGGGGACTCCGTGAACACCGCGGGCACAGGGCATAGGGCCGGCAGGGGACCGGTAGGTCAGCAGAGGGCAAAGTGACATGGACACTGAAAATAACTTGATACAGTAACGCGAACCGCATGACTTAGTCATACAATGTGTTTCGTCTCTTTTTGGCCCCGCAGCACGGCGCTCCACTGCAATGGCGGGACAGTCGGGCACCGCGCGCGCCCCCGCGCCCCCCGCGCCCACCTCCCCGACCCCCGCGGGGGCGCCGCAGGCCGCGCCCCACAACAAGCGGCCCACCATCATCATCTACCCCACAGGTGAGACGCACGGCTCGCCAGCAAAAATAACCGAGGCGTGAGTAGTCGAGGAACGCCGTCGTTGGTAAATCGTCTGGGAATGGCCGGCTAGCCGGCTGGCTCCCTCCGGACGACGACGACGCATTCAAGAAAGAGCGTGAGAGCGCCCCGGGCGGGGCGGGGCGGGGCGGGGCGGGGGCGCAGCGAGGCGCGGCCCTTGCGAGGCGTTTGGCACCATTACGCCGTCCGAAATGCGGAGCCGGCGTTGCGAATAAATCAGGAGCCCCTCCCCCTCCTCCCCGGGGGAGCAAAACGCCGCAATTAAAGGGTGGCGGCACGCCTGGCGTAGCCCTTGGAGTGCGGCCCGCGACGCGCGCCCTCCTCGCCCTGCGCCGCCCGGGCCGCCCTGGGTCGCTGCGACTCCCCGCCGCCTCCTCAGGGTCATCATTCATTCATCCACCGATTCATTATTTGGCTCGGCAGCGCTCCACACAAATCCACTGCAATTTCCCCGCTGCGCCAACCAGCCAGCCAGCCAGGCAGCCAGTGCTGCCATAGCGGAGGGGGAAAAAACCTCGGTGACTGTACCGACGGTGGCGCGGAGGGCTCTTGACAAGGCAAATGAACTGCATCGTCTCGAAACTTTTAATGAGGCGTCTTCATCGCGCCGAAGCGGGGAGAAGCGGGGCGAAGCGGTGTGGCCCTAACGTGCGGTGGGACGGACGGGCCTCGGCTGCTGTTGCTGCTGTTGCTGTTGTTGCTGCTGTTTCGGTGGCACGGCATGACTGCAGCGACTCAGCAACCGTAAGCAAGTGGACCTCGACCTCAGCGCATTATGGTCGTGGCTCAACGGGAGCGAGCGACCTCGCTGGCGCGCGCTGCGCGCTCTCGTGCGCGCCACTGTGCCGGAAAGCCCGCGCTCGAGAGCGACCGCCGCAACGACGCAAAAACCTGACGCTTTCAGAACTGCAGCCCGTGTCATCTGCTGAAAAGAGTCAGAATTTCCAGGCAGCCGGTGGGCGACTCGACCGCCAACTCTTCGGGATTCGGGAAGGAGGTCAAGACCAGGCCGGGGCACGCCAGTACAACAACCATGAACTGGGAGCGCTGACCAGCGCGCTAGAACCGAGAAACCTCTCCGTTACCCTTCTTTACCGTTACATGATTAAGCTTTGTGAATGGAATATTCCCACAATGATTTCCTGTTCGTGGCGCTTGATTTCCCGGGTGGGCAAGCAAAGCCAACAACAACAACAACAACAACAACAAGGCGGAGTGCGGGTTGGTTTGGCGCGTTCAATGCCTGCCCGGGCAGCCCGTGAAGTTGGTGGGCGGTGCGCGGTGCGGGCCCCGCGACGTCCAGCCGCGTGCGCCGTGCGCCCCGCCACCTCGCAAGGCCGCGCCCCGCCGCGCCCGGCAGCGCCCCAGCCGGGCCAGGATGAAAACGCACGCTACGTATTACCCGTCGCTGAATATTTCAGCCAGGAACTTGCCTCGCGATACATTATGTGCGAGTGGGAAATGGGAAACGGGAAATGCAGTGCCGGACTCTCCGAGTGGCTGCTGCTCGGGCCGGCAGCGCGAACGCCCCGAGGGCCGGGCCGCCGGGCTGGACTGGGTTGGAGGGGGAGGACGCGGGACGCGCGACGCGCGGCACAGTTGGCCGAAAGTTTGTTTCATTGTAGGGCGGGCGTGCCGGCACCCGTCGTCCCGGCTAGTCCCGGCCTGCAGGGCGGGCTTCTTCGCCTCGGCGTCTCGGCGTGCGCTGGTTGCCGCTGGTTGCTGGCACTGCAGAATGCGAGCCCTGCCGCCCTGCCGCCCTGCCCCGTCCCACGTCCAACTGACCTGCGCCGCGACAGAGACGCGCCGCCAACTTGGGGATGAAAAGGAAAGTCCCAAGGCCGGGCGGGACTGGGCCGGGCACCGAGGGCGCGAGGGCTCAAGCTCGCGTGTCGGACAGTGTGATCATCTGTCTCGAAGCGTCCGGCCCCATGCGCCGAGCGGAAACTTGCTGCAAAGTCGTGCCGATGAAGGCGGGGGCCGTCGTGGGGCCGCGGGGCCGCGGCGGACAGGTCGGGAGGGTCTGAGCCGCTAAAAGGGAGACACGGCGCGGCTGTAAAAGCTGAAAAAGCAGAGTGTCCACCTCACTGCCCAGGCATACTTCACACCACGCACTGCAGAGGCCAACGGCAATCACCCCAGCCTCAGGACCTCCCCGTCAAACCGGCGGCGCCACGTACACTGACGTTGTGGAGCTCTCTTTTTGTCATACCGCGTGTAACTGTGCCCTCGTTGTTTTGTTTTTCCAGTGTCTCCCGAGTCCGTGGTGATCCCCATCGTGTCCTGCATCCTCGGCTTCCCGCTGCTCGCCCTGCTGGTCATTTGCTGCCTCCGGCGGAGAGCCAAGCTGGCCCGGGAACGAGCCAGACGGGGACGCCCAGGGTCGGTAACATTTGTTTTCAGCGCGGCGCTGCGGCGGGGCGCCTCACCGTGGCAGCTATAGGCAGCGTAGCGCTGCGGGGCATCGGCGCTCTGTAATCCCCTCTGCGAAGACCGGGGTCTCACTCCCTGAAAAACTAATTTCAAATTTGCTGACGCTTGTCCGTGGTGAGGCTATTCTCCCCGCCGACTTCATTTAGGCACGAAGTAGCCTTTGTTCCAGATTCAGCCTCGCTGATGAGCGTGCCCTAGCAAGTCGAACCTTCTTAGATTTTGTGAGGTTTGCAGTTGGAGAATTCTACAATTTCAATCGGAAAGTTTTGAATCGTCCCCGTTTCCATAAGCAGCCGACTCGTCTGAGGGCGGTGTCCCCAGTGGGCTCGGTTCGAAATTCGGCGGGAGCAGTGTGGAGCCAGTTTTAATGCGTGCTGTCCGCCTGTTTGTTTGTTTTCACATTAGCCGACCACATCGCTGCCTGCTATGTTCCGACGCTCCCGCGATTCGCCATCCGCGTTTTGGAACAGCACGGGAACATCTCAGACGACGCTAGAACTTTTGTTTCGAATCGGGCCGTTCTGTGGGCGACTTGCGGGGCATCTGTTCCCCCTGAAGTTCCTCCCGAAAATAAAGACTTCAAACGGTGAATACTAGCAAGATTTGCTGACGCTTGTGCCAAGTGGGTGAATCGGCCCTTCCATTCGTCCCCACCCCCTCCCCTACACCTTTCCTTCCACTCCTCCAATACAATGCCGGATCTGGTTTCTCGTTTATATTTTTTTTCGGCATTCTGCGGCCAGCCCCAGCTCCGCGGTCCGCGGTGGCTGGGCTGGGGATGGCACCTGATATTTGTCCCCGTGAATTGGCCCATCTGACTAATTAGGCCTGTCACCTTGCGGGCCTTGCCGCAGCGCCTTGCCGCCGCGCCGCCCCGCGCTGCTCCTCTTTCCTTCCTTTCCGGCCTTCCCTTCCTGTTTCTCTCTGCGGCTCCTTTCGGCCGGGCCGCGCCAGCCGGGCCAGCCGCGCCCACTTGACGCTTCGAAAGCCCCTCACGTCGCCTGTCTGTTCCAGGAACTGCGACACAGGCCAAGGGGCGCTCTCCCTGGTCCGCCTCAGCGCCATCAGCCGGATAGGTACGTTAGCCCGCCTCGGCGCGCCTTGCCACTTCCAGCAGCAGGTTTCTCCAACTGTACGGCACGCACTTCTCGGCGGCAGGGCCGGGCAGGGTCTGGCCGGGGAATTGTAATTTGGCGGGGACACAACAACCCCTCCCCGACCCGGGTCCAGGGCGGGGTCCAGGGCCGGGCGTGACACGCTGTGGTGATGCGGCTTACGTCACGGCCTCGGGTCCTTACAACCCCGCCAACCGCACCCCGCCAGCCCCCTGTCTGTACGCCCCCTCCCCTTTCCACGTCACTGGCCGCCCGGCCGTCCTGGCTATCCTGGACGCCCCGTGGACGGTCCGTGGCTGCGGCCCGGCGCTTTGTGACAACGTGACAGCGCCCCACCTTGGCCCCACCCCGCCCGGGCCAGCGAGGCGCCGTGACTCAGCGTGACACAGCGTGACACCTGCTTGCACCTCGCATCGAGTCCGCGCCAGGGCGAGGGCGGCCAGGGCCAAGGCAGCGAGGCGGGGCTGCGGGGCTGCGGGGCCAGCTCCAAGGGAGAAAGAAAAATTGTGTGGCCCTTTGAGGGGCGCCATTTCTCGGCCGCCCTCTGCCCTTCCAGCCGTTGCGAGGATTGCGAGCGACGCGTCGTCTGTCAGTGACTCTAGTGACACTCTCCGCTCTGCTGCAGGCACGGACCGGGCCATGGCGGGTCGCACCATCAGCCTCCGCGGCGAGCGCGGCGACCGGTCGCTGTCCAGGGCCTTCCCCTCGCTGGACCTGGAGCTGGACACCGTGGTGGAGGAGCGCTCATCGGACCCGGACCCGGAGGTCCTGCAGGACCTGTGCTCCGCGACCTCCATTGACATCGACAGCTAGCAGGAGGTCTCCCCGGGGCCTTACAGCGGCCTCCAGGGGCCGTCGTTCAAGGACCCGGGGACCAAGACGTTGCCCAGCCCTCACGCCAACGGCGGCCCGCACGCCCTGGCCGCCCTGGCCGCCTTGGCCAACGGCGTGGCGCACAGCACGCCGGGACAGCCGCTGGGGACGCCGCCGCCGCACCCCGCGCCGCCCCAACCTGGGCCGCCCACGCCCGCGTCGTTGCCGCCGCTGCCCCTCAAGGGCCCGACGTACGACGGGCACCCCGTGGCCGTGTCTGCCGCCACCAGCCCCACGGAGAGCGACCCCCACGACGGCGGCCTCCACGAGGACGGCGTGGCCGGCAACGGCGTGGCCGCGAGTCCGGGGCAGTTCAGCCAGGGTGCGCACGGTGTGCCGTCCGCCCCGCCGGGCTTCCCGCCCGGATTCCAAGGGCCGCTGGGCAGCCCCGAGCCCAAGCCCCTGCCCCTGCCGGACCTGTCGCCTCCCAGGCCGCGGACACGCTCCGTCGGGCTGCAGGTGAGCCATGCCGTGTGAGCCTGAGGTGTCTTTGGCCTTTGGCCTTTGCAAGACGCGTGACTGACTTTGCTGTCTCTCTCTCCAGGTGCGCTTGGGGACGCGGACGCTGCAAGAGCGCGCGCCGCTGTGGACCACGCTCACGACCGGCCAGGCCCCGCTGCCGCGCTCCGTCAGCTGACGTTTGCACCGCGCGGACTCCAGCTCCCAGACGCCAGACTAGTGCCAACTGTGCCAACTAGTCCACTGGTCTCCGGGCAGCGGACGCCGCGCCAAAACCAAAACCGAAACCCCGACGAGAACGAGAACCTCCAGACGGAGGATCGTCACTTGTGCCAACCATAGACCCTGCCTGCAGTGGCCCGAATGTTGGCGTTGCTCTTGCAATCAAGGAACCTGCGATAGCGAAGAAAAGTGTTAACATTTGCTCCGATCGAGCCTTGGTGCGCGAGTAGGATCTTCTAGTGCACTCCTGTGGAGGACCAATGTCACGATACTCATGTCCCGATTTAGCAAACGTGATATTCTGCTGAACAAAATATTACTTTTAGCAAACTTTATTGTTCTGTATATATTTTTAAAATATGTAGAGAGTTATAGATGTATACATTTTAAAATGCCTTATTCACTTCAATATTTTTATAGGACAATGATGAAGAAATTCTACATAAAAGTGATTGACGATGTGGTGTGTGCCTCAGGCATCAGAGTAACAATGAAATAAGATGTACTAGATCTGAATAAATATTATAATAAAAAAGTGTGTTTTTCTGTCCTTGAACCAAGGACGTAAACAACCCTAACCCTATTCCGCGGCGGCCCGGGGAAACCCGTGTAGCAGTTTTGCCGGGTTAGCGCTTACTTTCAAATTGGCGCGCATTTGACGTCACTACCCCACGCTGCGCCGCTGCGCTGCGCCGCGCCGACGCAGTTCCTTTCCTCGCCGCGTGGTGGCGCCACCTGTCAGAGGAGAGTCGTCTGGCCGAGTTTTTCATACGGCCTCTGTGTTTGTTGTTGTTGATGTTCGACCGACGCTCGCCGCCGACACCAGCCGCCAGCCGTTTTCCACTCATCATTACGTTTCGTGTATCGTTTGCCATGTCTATTCCCCTGTTCCCGAGTCTGACACCCAGAGTAGTCAACGCCGCATGGTTCAGCGTGGACAGGCCGTGTGACGACGACAATGAATTGACTCAACTAGAACAAGAACACCAAACTTGGGTACTAACCTAAATTCGTCAAACTGTCATGTTTATGCTTTTAGCCCCGGATGGCTTTTGGGAAAAAATTTTTGTGTTGGATGGGGATTGATGTCTTTTCTCTTATTTTCCTGCAGCTCCATGGCATCGCCACCAAGGACAACGATCTCGTTCCGATTGGAAAACCAGCCACTGAGGTAATTAGCTTATGAGAGTTGTCTCTTGTCATCTGTAGCCGTCCTTACTGTGCCGTGATTTTAGCACTGTATTATAGGTACAGTAACGTCATGATTTTGTTATAATTTTTATTTGCAGCAAGAGGAGGAGGATGAAGAGGAAGAGGAAGATGACAATGATGATGACAGCAGTGACAGTCATGATGAAGAGGAAGATGATGAGCTTGATATGGACGACTCGTATGATGAGTCTCCCAATGATCCTCGCCTGAACAATGGTATTGGTGGAGCTTCATTGCACCCTGTTCGCTGATATTTCTATGACGCTTATTTCATTTTTTTATTTCTACTTTGGTTTACTTTCTTTTTAAATGTGGTGTTAAACTTAAGTTTGGTTAAGAATGTAATTAAATTATCATATATTTAAATTTGAAGAGCTGTTGTCATTCCATTTCAAATTTTAGGATTGTTCGCTATATCAGGATCTGAGTCATGACATATTTTCTTGAATTATTGTTTCCTTTGTGGTAGGATAATTCTTTTAACATGATATCTGTTCATAATTCTGTTTTTAATGTTGGAGGTCAGATAGAGATTCAGTGGCTTCATTCATGTTCCTTTCATCTTTTTATTAGGTTTCTACTTACTTGAAAAATCACTTTCATTTTTAGACATGCCATTCTCCGTCTCCATTGCAACTCATGCTCTCATACATTTGGAAATGGCATCAAATACTTTATTTCAGTAAAGCATTTATTAGCTCATCTATACAAAATATACATGTGATCTTAACATATTAGACTGTGGAACTTTTAGAATTAACAAAGTTGAGCAGAGATGTACTGTAGCATTTCTGTATACTGGCAGTCAATCTAAGGGACTAGTAGTCACTTGGTCAATCAGTTGCAATAAAATATTCAAAAGTAACCAAATTTGTCAAATTCAATAAGACCAAACAGTTTTGTTTTCTGCATACGTACTCTATAAGATTGTTTGATCATGGTATAAATAACAGAAAAGTATATGTGCGGGGATTTACAGAAGTCTTATGGTTCGAAGGTTCAAGGTATGAAATAATATGCTGGACTGAGTAAATTATTGACTAGTTCTTTTTCTATAGTAAAACAAAAATAAAAGTTACATCACATTTCAATTTTTTTTTAAAAATAGGAAACTATTATGGGGAGGAAATTATGTTCTTCAGTACAGAGACTACAAAGTTCTCATCCAGCTTTAAATGGAGATGAATCGAAGGACATAAATTCTAGGTAACAATCAATTACAATACAATCCACCTGAGCAACTGCAGGAGGAGCCAAAATACTAGAATTCGAACACTCCATACTACAGCCAGATGTGCTAATTTGAGCCTGCACAGAAAAAAAAACATGGGTGTTAGCAAATCTCAGCGTCATGTAACTGGTAGAGCCGTGCAAAACATGTATACTTACTTTCTATACCTCACTTTGGACTCTTCCAAAGTATCAAGGGGATCTCCTAAAATGTAGACTCGAAGGCCTCTCATGTAGGTCCTAAAGTATTGTTCCCAGGTTAATCTTTTCATGTTGAAGTCGAAGACTTTTCGATCCATACTATTCATCTTGTCCCATAACTTGTGGACGTTGTCATTTCTAAACTGCCAATCTTGGCAACAGAAGTATGAAATAACCGTTGAGAATTTGTGAATCTTCCTGTAAGCATCCTGTAGGCTGCAAATGCAAAGCATTGATAATTAATACGTTCAGAAATGGGTAGGCAACCCGACGGACCTCCATGTGAAGTGCACAGTGTACTCACAATGGCTTTTTGCCGACGACGCGGCAGCCCATGTCGACGAGGAAGGCGGGAACGAGGTGCATGAAGAACTGGTAGATGAGGTACAGGAAGCGGTTCTTGACGAGGCGGAAGTCGTAGTACCAAATGCAGCGCATGGAGGGGATCTCCACGCCGCGCGCGTTCAGCGCCATGAACTGCCCCCACGTGATGGGCTGGTCCACGGACGCCACGTAGTTGAGGACGGGTGGGTCGGGCTCCGCCTCCTCACCGCGCTCCAGCTGCAAAGAAAAGGCATTCCCAGCATTGCGATGAGTCGACGTTCGGCTACAAGGGACTCTACAGTGCAGGACTGGGCTGGGCTACGCACCTGACGGTTCTCGGTGTCGCGGCTAGCGATGTCCCAGGCCGCGGCCAGCACGCTGTTGATGGCCATGTCCACGGGCACCATGTCGGCCAGCTTCTCCGAGTCGCAGTAGAGCGCCTTGATGAGCCCCACCCCCGCGCCCGCCACCACCCCCGTGGGCCCGTACACGTTGTTGATCCAGCCGGCGATCGGCTCCTTGGCGGTGGAGATGACTGCAACCAAGAGGAAGAAGGCCGTCTCACTACACAAACTCGGCAGCCAGGGGCGCCAGGGGAGGGGGAGGGGAGGGGTCCTTACCGATCGACGGCCGGACCATGATGACGGGGAGGCCCTTGCTGTGCTGCTGCACCACGTCCTCGGCCACGGCCTTGGTGAAGGCGTACGTGTTGGGCCAGGTCGTGATGAGCTGCGGCGTGATGGCGTTCAGCATGTCGTCCTCCATGCTGTTGAGGATGTTCATGAGGCGCTCCGGGCTCACGTCCGGCTTGTAGAACTTCTCCTCGATGATCTTGTTCTGCGGGTACGAGTAGGCCGTGGAGACGTGGACGAAGGCCTGCGAGGAAGGAGAGAAGCGGGTTGAGTTGCAGTGGCGTTGACGCGGTGCACGGCGCACGTCGCGCACGTCGCAAACCTAACCCAACCTAGCCGTGCACTGCTCGGCGTGCACCCCGCGCGCACCTTGAGGTCGGGCATGGTGCGGGCGAGGGCCAGCAGGTCCACCGTGGACTGCACGTTGATGGCGGTGGCGAGACGAATCTTCTCGTCGAAGCGCACGGTGGCCGCCATGTGGAACACGACGTTCACCTCCTTGAGCTTCTCGCGACTCTCCTGGCTCAGGCCCATCTGTGGCTGCGAGCAGTCGCCCTCCAGCGGGTACACTTTGAGCTGGAAGCCGGGCCGCTGCGTCCGCATGGCCTCGAAAACCTGGACCACAAACAACAACAAAATGATTACGACGCCCACATTTGTCAGTGCCCCAGCCAGGCGGGGAAGCCTCGGGGGAAGCTTACCGGCCCCTCGAACTGTTCCTTGAAGCGCTCCTCCAGGCACTTGCCCTTCTTGCCGCGCATCATGACGTACACCTTCTCCACGCTCGGGCACGACCTGTAGACAAACCGGCAGACAAGTCAAGACAAACGCATGGCATAGCTGTGCGCCGCGAGGTCGCGAGGGCCATGGCGCCGCGAGGGTAGGCAGCCCAACCGGCGGCGGCGCCGCGCTCATCTCACCTGAGGATTTTCTCCAAAAGGATGGTACCCATAAAACCGGTGCCGCCGGTGACAAAGATGACTTTGCCGGCGTAGAAGCGGGCGATAGCGCTCTCTTCCTCATAGTGCTCCGACAGGAAGTGCTCGATCGTGATGTCGTTCCCCTCGTGGTCGTCCATGTCGGTGGATCTGTAAGCAGGGCGGAAGCCGAAACAATCAGTTGGCGGTCGAGTCGCCGATTGCCGTTTCACTCTAAATGCACCCCTCTTCCCCTTTCCCGCTACTCGCCCCCGTGACCTGCCCCCGACCTTGTGCCTCACGCCTGCCGTTCGGATGCGGAACAATCCTCATTGGAATGGATGGGGAATGTCAATGAGCGCCGGCCAATGGCAGGAAAGTGCTCACACTCATACTGCCGAGTGGCTTTGAATCTATTTGCTTGGGCCCTGCGCGAGGCCCTGCGCGAGGCCCTGCGCGAGGCCCTGCGAGGTGGTGAGGCGGCTCGCCCGCCACGTCCACACCGCCATGCCGATGAAGCCGGTGCGCGCTCGACGAGGACAAGCACCCTGGGCGTTCTGTGCCTTCGCCGACGACAGCGGATTCATCGACAGAACAGAACCGCGCCAAAACACCGCGAGCGCATGCCAAGGAGCCGGACAGAAATAAAATAAATACGTCGTGTTGTTGGCGTGGAGCTTGGCGCGGCCACACTCGCCTCTCGCCGCGCACGCCGCACGCCCACATGCGTCCACGTGGATCGCGTCTCGCGGGAGGCGCCGGAGCCGCCGGAGCCGCCGGAGCCGCCGAGTCGAGTACAGTGAAGTGTGACTGCGTTCTCCTCGCCCTCCTTCTCCTTCTTCGCGCCAAGGCCGCCACCAGCATGGCACCAGGGCAGGCCGACACGGCCGGGCCGGCACACAGGGCGTAACGCCGCAACGCCAACGCCCCCTGGACACTTGTCCAGAGACATGTCCAGCAGAGACCCGTCCGCGCTCCATTGGCAAATACTGTACTGAGTATCGGAGTGATTTACGGACTGGCACACTGGCGGGCTGGAGAAAGCCGGCAAGGCGTGCCAACTTGTGGCCGCGAGCCGGGCAGCGGCGTGCCATGGAAGTACTGGAGGCTGGCAGGGGCGGCTCTGCTCTGCTCGGCTCCCTGTTCGGCGCGTTCCGCGTCGCCACCGCACCAGTAGTTGGCTCGGACTCGTCGCGTCCGTGCCGGCCCGTCGGCCCGACTCTCAACACACCACACTGTGAATGCGCCACTGCGTTCTTTTCCCGTGGTCGTCATATTCCGGGGACAGCGCAGGAAAACCTGCCGGACGCTTCGCTGCGCTCCGTGTCAATAATGATAGGCGCCGCGCCGTCATCGCGGAGGCGCGGCGCGGCGCGGTCAGTCCGCGGACTGCGGCCGCGCGGGGCGGGGAAGTCCAAGTCCGGGCCGGCCACCCGCGGCGCGGCCAGCGCGGAGTGCCCCGCGATCGCCCGCGATGCGTCCGGGTCCGGAAGGGTCCGGGCCAGCCTCAGCCGCACACGCCGCCAGCTTCGACCAGCCTTGCCATTACGCAGTTGTGGTTCAAAAACAATGAAAAACATCCGGAGTCTGGCAGCAGCATGCCGAACCCGTTTATTGCATCCGAACTAATAGTGGCGCGTTCGCCGTGTCATCGGCGTGCACCGAGGCGTGCACGGCATGGGCCGCGACGAGGAAGCCGACGGCTAGCAGGCCGGCCAGCCGGACGCACGCAATGCACGCAACGCACGCGAAGCGTCGTCAAGCGAAGCGACGCCGCACGGACACACGCAGCTGGATAGTTTGCACTACGATGCCTCCCAGCAAGAGGTCTATCTTTTACCTGAGGGAAAGATCGGCCTCAGCGGCAGGAGTGCAGCGTCCTAGGATAGGGCCCTACACGTTCTATGACAAATTCGTTGTCATCTGAGCTCGAGACATCGTAACGGTCTACGTACTCGGCGTCCTTGAAAAAAATTAATGTTGACTTTGAGTAACGGGGCTACCTGAACCAGGCCCTTGTAAAATTTACATTCAGGGACCGTCGCCTTCCAGGTCCAGGAGGAGGGGGAGGTCATCGAACTGCTGGACTGCGGCGCTGCGCCGCGTGCTCCATTTCTCCAGGTCGGCCTTGGCAACGCCTTGGCTGCGCGCTGCAGTGCAGGAGCAGGACAGCGAGCAGCGAGGCAGCAGGACAGCCGCTCGACAAGTCATCCCATTTGCGATGCAGAATGAATGAGGCTTTCGTCGCGCAATGACGGGTGACGCAAACTCGCCGTCGGCCGTGTAGAGCCTCTTCGAGCGAATCTTCCAGCCGCGCGGAAACATTGTCTCGGCGTGATTTTCCTTCGGCCGCGGCGCCAGCGACGCCAGTCCGAGTCCGGGACGGACGTCCGGAGTCGTGCTCAGGCGTGACCCGCACGGCCCCGGCCGCGTCACTGGCGTCACGCAGCAGCGCATGCTCCAGGTCGGTAGACACCGCTCGCTCGGGCTGCCAAATGGGACACCCATGCTATGTACAGCATTGGTGATCATGGTGCCGCAGGTGATACGGGCCGCCCGAGACAAACGGCTTCAGCGTTGTTGTTTTTCGATGAAACGAACTCCTTGGGTGCGGCGGGCGCGCGGCAGAGCAGGGCAAAGCCGGAGCACGCGGTGGCGCCCCGCCATAAGGACGCTTGCAACACGCGAACGCATCCTTGCGCGCCGCGGGGCGGGGAAGGGCAGGGCGGGGCAGGGCAGGGCGGGACCACCACGCGGGCGGCAGCAGGTGCATGGGTGGAATGTCCAGGCTCCGGCCCAGTTCAATTTTCAGGATTATGAACACGGCCGTGTTGGGCAACCCTTGGCTTGCTTGGCGCTGTGTCGCGTGGCGGTGCGCGGCGCGCGGTGTGACGGCGTGGACGGCGTTGACAGGCCGGGCCGCGGGCCGCGGGGTGCCATTCCCGGCCATTCCGCACCGCCCCAACCCAAGTGCGCCACCGCACGCAAGCGACGCAAGCGGTCACTTCAAACCGGCTCGGGGTGCCCAAGCTGGCCCAAGCACGCTGCCCTACTCTCACACTCGCGCAGTCCCGGGAAGGGCTGCTCTCGATTTGTCACAATCGGCACAATATGAGAATATGAGGCCGCGCAGTTCGATAACCTGCCCTGCCCGTTCCCACCACAACGCACCCGATCGCCTTCCTCACGCGCCTGGCTTCGTGCTTCGTGCGCGAGGCATGACACAGTTTACTTTTCTCTGCGAATGTATGGAATGGATGGGGCGTTGCAAAATTTGGTCCACGGCGCGATACAGCGCCGCGCGAAGCTGGCCGAAGGAGAGGGGCGTGGGGCAGCAGCATTGCAGAAGTAGTCGTCGGAGTCGTTTTAGCCGGCGGGGTGTGGCGCACAGAGCGTGCCTGGAAGAGGGATCTCTCACTTTGGTGAAAAAGGTTATTGTTTATCCTTTGTATCTAGAAAGCAATGGGTTTTGGCACTCGGTTTCCCACCGTTCGCAAAGCTGCAAGGCGTAACCCGCAGCCAGTGTTTCCATATTCCTTTCCATCCGTGCGTGGTTCGCGCGCCGCGGCCTTTTGTTTGGGCGCGGGACTATTCGGGCTATTCGTGAGCGAATAGGACCGGGCCGCGGTTCCCGCTGGTCCGCGCGGGTCCCCGCCGGTTCCCGCCCGCCACGGGGAGGCGGCGACTCGCGACACCTTGCCCGTGACCGTATCATGGTCAAGGCCAGCGTCGCGCAGCGTCGCCGGGCCAGCCGGGCCTGACGCCGCCCCGCCCCCGCGGCCAGCCGGGCTGGGCCGCTATGCTGCCGGCTTCGGGCCATCGTCGTCGGCCCGTCGGCCCGGCCTGTGACGCCACCGCGGCGACCACGTTTCGCGGACTCAGTCTTCCGCAGCCGTGTCGGCGTTTTCTTTTGCCGCGTGAATCCCACGGCCACCAGGGACAGAAGTGCACCGCCGGGGGCGCGGCCGGCGCGGCCCGGCGAGGTTCCAGCCCAGACAAGCTGAGTCTGTGACGCGACCGCGGCCTGCTGCCTGCTCGGCCTGCTCGGCCTGCTCGCCGGGGACCTGCAGGTGGGGAGGCAATCGCCGCGACAATCGCACAACCGCCCCTCCGGAAATAACCGCGGACCGCCATCGCGGAGCTCGCGGACGCATCCGGGGTTCACGCCTTTCTCGGTGGCGGTGCCCCTGGCGCGACTCGCGAACATTCCCGGCGTGAGTCACGCCTGAGAAACACACAAGTGATTTTCGAAAAAATTTGAAGCATTTATTGGCGTGCCGAACTGAGTGCGCCATGCACCAGGATACCTCCGATGCAACGGGCGTCGGCCTGCGCGGAAGTTTCAAAATGGCAACATCCAGTCGAGTGAAACGCTCAGTTTTAGAAGAATGGGCTGATTCGAGAAAGTCGATGGATGCATCCTGAGGGCGGACGCGGGCGGCGCTCACCTGGCTGCGGGGTGTCCGCTGTGTCGCCGACGGGAAGTTGCACTGCACTGCACGGTCGCGCGACGGGAACCCACGGCAAGGGTGTGGACGGGACGGTCTAGACGGGGCGCCGCCGCGGTCGGCAGTCGGTCTGGCGAGTCTGGACTGACTGGCGCACTGGCCGAGTGGCCGCCCGGTGGCCGCGGCCAGGGGCCGCCAGGGGCCGCCGGGGGCCTCCACGCCTACCGCGCCAACCGACGGCGGACGTAGCGCAGACCGGAGCGCCCCTCCCTCCCTCCACGTTCACACGCGCGCCTTCACACACACAGACACGCTCACGCACAAACACACACGCATTCAACGCACATCTTGTGCTATATTGTCGACATTAAATTTGGCTTAATTTCGCTTTGCTGCGTTGATCGAGGGGATACCAAGTGACGCCAGTTCCATCTTCTTCTCACTTTGGACAGAACGAGGTGTTTTTTGTTTTTTTTTTTTTCAGAGAGAGTGCATACTAGTGGCATTGGCGTGACACGGGCCTGGAACGATTTTTGCTGGGACGCCGCAGCCTCGCCTGTGCACCCGATAGTACGCACCCGAGTTTCATGTCGTCGCCTGGTGCAACACCCAGCGGCCAATTTGCAGCGCAGCCAATCGGCGGGCAGAACCTGAAAGTCATCCAGCCCCTGGCCGCCCTGGCCGCCCTGGCCTCGGGGCCCGGGGCGACACGGCGACCCTATTGGCTCGCCATTGGCCAGAGATGTGGTCAGTCACCGTACGCACAGTCCAGCCGATGACGCTGCGAAAGTGCGTCAAAACGCGGTTTTATTTTTAGAGAGAAAAAATTCGATTACTGACTCAGCGACACACGTGAAGCAGCGAAGTTAAGGTAACTCTAAACTCACATTCCACCACAGTTGGAAGTGTTTGCCGCAGCCATTGAATGAACCTGGTCATTGAAATAAACTGCGACAGGCCCAAAACAAGCATCTTGGGCGCGCCACTGCACGTCAGCATGTTCAGCCTATGTGCGTGAAACAGAACAGCGCGCCGTTTGTTTGGCGTCAACGCTCGCCCGTCCACCGACCTGGCCGCCCTGGCCGCCCCTCGGGCACGGCACGCCGCGGCACCTGGCCCGCCGAGGCCACGCCGTGCTCGGCCACTTGTCGAGCCAATTGAATTGTCGCGATTACTTTCAATATCGTAACAGCCGACTTCCACGGCGACGCAAGGCGTACGTGTGGAGCGTATTGCACACCGCCCTCTCGTTCTCCCTGGTCCGCGGTGCTTTTCCTTCCCCGCCCAAGGCACCGCCCCCGCGATGACGCGCGCGGACTAAACGCTGCCACTATGTGTGCAAAGGGCGTGCACATTAGGCATGCAAACGAGGCGCAGCGCGGCGGCGCGCTCGGCCCCTTCAATTCCCAGAGACAAACCACGCGGCGGGGGCGGGCCGAGGCGAGGGCACACACTTTCCTGAACCGGTGGGCTGCCGGTCGGTGGGCCACCGGGAATGGGAATTGGGGATTTGCTTGGCCAGATTATGGAAAACCGTACAGTCACGCACCGCGCGCCGCCGCGAGCCCTAGGACAAGCAGTCCGACACGTTGGTGGCGGTGCCCGGTACTTTGCCGCCGGAAGCCCTGCCTCGCCGTCGCACTAATGAGAGGTCGCCCCGTCCGGACTTGACCTATCCTCCTGCAAAGCACAACGTGTTGCAGGACGAGGCGAGTTGTCGGCCACACCGCATGAGGGGGCGCTCCCCGTCCCCGTCCTGACCTTGAAGACGACGAAGGAGCAGACGAGCTCGGGGCTGACGTTCATCACCACGCCCGAGTTGCAGCACCAATTCTTGGAGTAGTTGGGCGCCGAGAAGATGGTGACGAGCCCCCGGCGCGCGAAGAACTCGTAGCCCTCCTCCACCACCTGCATGACAACATCTCGCGCGTAACGGGGACATCGTCGGACGTTGCCGTCTATCGTATCATCGGCGTGCGGTCGGCCGCGCCGTCTCGCCGTGGCCGCTCGGTCCGCGTGGAACCCGCGAGAGGCTTTGCGTCGCTTGGCGTGGCCACTGGCCAGCCCTTGCCTGGTGGGCGCGGCAGACCAGGTCCAGGCCGTGGGTTCTCAGGAACTCGTCCACCACCTCGGGGCCGAAGAGGTACGAGCAGCCGCGCGTCACGTTCGGTTCCCAGCCCGCCACCTGCCGGCGGAAAGGCGAGAAGGGTAAGGATTCGAACCCTCGACCGGGCCGCCGTGAGCGGAGACGCACTTACATACTCCGGGTCGGACCAGAGCAGGTCGCAGAAGAGTCCGGAGCGCGGGACGTCGGCGGGCCGCGGCAGCATGTTGATCTGCTCCAGGTCGCGCAGCTCCGGCGAGAGGCCGCCGTGGCAGCAGAAGATGCGGCCGCCCACGACGGCGGCCAGCGGCATGCAGTTGAAGCAGTCCGCGAAGCGCTTCTGCAGCGACTGCGAATAGCCGCGCCGCTCTGGCGACGGGGCGGCGATGCGACGGCGGCGACGCCCAGGTCAGACCACACGTGCAGGGGGCGTGAGGGCGAGAGGGCGCGCGACGATGCAAGGTCAAGGAAGCGCGCCCTTCTCACGCCCCCTGCATTGTCAGCCCGGCCGTGCTAATCGAATCGCGCAAGCACTGCACTCGCACCTAGCTCCCGGTAGAAGCCGTAGTTCCGGTTGAGCAGCGCGCTCTCGTGGTTGCCGCGCAGCAGGGCCATGCAGTCCGGGTGGCGCAGGCGCAGCGCCAGCAGCAGCACAATCACCTGCACCGAGGGTCGCTTTCATCGCGCTGTCTCTTTCGCACCTAGGACGCCCATGAGCGCGAGAGAGACAGACCGGCAAAAACGGCTCTCGGAATCAGTCTACAGGCCGCCAGCGGGTTGCCTAGCCCCGCCCTATTGCTATTGATAGATGGACCACAAATAATGATCGTGTGCCTTTCAGACTTTCAGGCTACCTCGACGCTCTGCGGGCCGCGGTCCACGTAGTCGCCCAGGAACAGGTATCGCTGCTCCGGCGGCGGCCCCACCAGCTCGAGCATGCGCAGCAGGTCGTAGTACTGGCCGTGCACGTCACCTGTGACGCCGAGACACCTCATTCGAATACGTGTTTACACGCTTAAATAATTTAAACCACCCGTTGCAGCTGCGAGTCAAGTCGACCTCAACACACTCCTTATTTGTCACTGTGTTCGAGCTGTCGTTCTCTCCGGGAGGCGCGCTCGCGGGCCAAGGCGGCCCAAGGCACGCATGATCATCATCTTCTTGTCCACAGCCTTCACCGTGACCGCCCGCATGGCCGCGGAGCCGGCGGAGTCGGACAGCGAATCCGGATCGAGGTTTGGCAAGGCCTGGCTGCCAGGCGCACGCCAGGCGCACGCGCCCCCCGCGCGTCCCTTCTGCACGCGTCGGTGCACACACACGCACACACACACGCACGCTTTTTCCACCCCGTCGGGTTTATCAGGCGAGTAGAGTACGCAACGCGGTGCAGCGGCCGGCCCGGCTCGGCAGGCTCGGCCAGTGCAGGAGCAGGAGTGCAGCGACGAAGGGGCGGCAGGCGGACTGGGCGGCCGGCATGGCAGGTGCGGCGGCACGGTGCGGCGCAGAGCGCAGCAGCGCAGAGCGCAGCCAGCCGCGGCCGTTGCGTCAGGCGGTCAGCAGGGCCTCCGAACTCGCCGTTCCGACTCTCTCGCACTCATGGGCGTCCCGCGTGGGTGTGAGAGAGATAACGACACGCTGTGGGAATCACGCTGTGGGGTGAGGCGGGGTGGGGTGGGGTGAGGCGGGGCGGGGCGGGGCGACGCGGGGCGGAGCATTAGCCCCGCGTGATCTAATGCACTCGCTACTTCTTGGACTAGTTGACTCTTTGCTTGGACCGGCCGTTAATGAAATCAGTCGCAATCCCGAAGGTTGGCAAGGAAGGCGTGCAATTCCAATTTCGCCGTCGTCCCGGAAAAGAGGTAGTTTACCGCACCGCAAATGTTGAGGGGCGTGGCCAGGCGCAGCAGGGCGGGGCCCCGCAGCAGGGCGCGCCGGGCCGCGGCCAGCACGAAGACGACGTCCGCCTCGGGCACGGGCACCAGGGTGCCGGGCACGGCGCCGCGCGCTGCCGCCACGCCGAAGTACATGCAAACCGCGCAAAAATGGTGTCGTCGAGCTATAAACGGAGAGACGGAAAGACGGGCCGGGAAACCCGCCGACCGCCAGGCCGTCATGCCGTCCGGCCGTCACAACAAATCGCTATCGCCCCGATCGTTAGGCACGAGCTAATGGTGGCCGCGAACGCCGCCAACTTTGCAGTGGTGCGTCCCGCCGCGCCACGGGCACCACGCAGCTACGGGCACCACGAAGCCACAGGCCCTCGCGCATCGCGCTAGCTGCAGCAGCCGCACGCGCCGCCGGGGCCGCTGCCTCCGCCCGCTCGCGTCAACGCGTCAGCAGGACAGGAAAGGATCCGTTTTTGCGGAGGCGGTCGGCGAACAGGCCGCGTTTTTTCCTGCGCTGCTGCGACAGTGTCCAAGTGTCTCGGGCCCGGTTGCCACCGGCCAGCCGGCCAGCCCACCTGAATACAGCAGCCCGATGATGGCGTCCAGCCGCTCGCTTCCGTCAGCGTCACTTGTCATGGCGCGGGGCTGGCGGGGCCGGCGGGGCTGGCAGCCCGCGTCGCGCGCACAGCCTAGCGGACGGAATCCAGCGGATTCGGCTCGGCGAGGTTGAAGGTTGCCGGGGTTACGCCTGCCCGCGCCACTATTGTTCGCGCGTGGACGGAGTTATGATCTTGGTGAGGCGGGGGACGGGAAATGAAGTCTCGCAGGTGGGCTTCAGAAATTTTATTCGAAAATGTCACATACACAGAAAATATGTCAGGTCCCATGTACGGGTCCTGGCTTTGGGTACAAACTCCAAGTCCTTCGCTAATTGACTCTGCCTTGAGCATAGTTCGGTTTCGGTCTTCCTCCACGTCAGGATGTCAGAATTTGCTGGTGGCCGTGCCCTCCGGGCCGTCCGCGTTCGCGGGAGCGCCGACGCCGGGGCCGCGCTGCAGCCCCCCTCCACCGCCGCGGAGGTCGCGCTCTCGCGGCCGCAGCTCCAGGGTGGCGGCGGACGAGCCGGAGCTGGACAGCGCGCGCTGCGAGGGCGCCAGGAACATGTGCGGGTCCTTGGGGGTGTCGCGGGGTGGCTCGGGGGTGGGCACGTCCGTGCCCGAGCTCCCCGCCGAGCTCTCCCGGCCGTCGCCGACGCGGGCGTCGCCGCCGGCCATGTCGGCACCGAGCGGGAGTGCGGGGCGCGTCGACGTCGCCGACGTCGCCGAGGCCGTCGGCGCGTACGGGGCCTGCTCCGATGGCGGCGCAGACGGTGGCGGCGACCGGTAGGCGGCGGCGGCCAGCGACGAGGCAGCGGGCGGCGGCGGCGACATGGGCGCGGCGGGCGGCGTGGTTCTCTGTGGAAGACGGTGCGCCGTGTGGGTAGGCAACCCAACGCACGCGAGCATGCTGCCCCACTATTCGCTACCTGCTACCAGGGGCTGAACCATGTGCAGTAAGAGCATGCAAAAGTCAGTTCCGTTATTTACAGAGTAGCAGGGCTGGCGCACCGCTAGTGGGCTAGGCTTATTGACGGGGAATCGACCCCGCGAGGGCTTAAAAAGAGAAGAAGAAACAAAACTGGCCGTGGCACTAGCGTTGCGCCCGCGTTTAATTGATTTTCTACTTTGTATCGTGAGCAGGAACAGACGGGAGTGCGGCAGGCAGGCAAGGTAGCAGGAGCTGGTAGCAGGAGCTGGTAGTGGTAGGGTACGGACTTCGAGGGCAGGATTCTATCTCCATCGGAGTAAAAGTTCCACAAAGCGGCACTACAAACCAAAACGGAAACCGTCCACAATCCACTGAGCCCTTTTCTTGGTTGGGAGTTGCGATACCTTTCACAGGTAACAGACCATTAAAGGATGGAGGAAGTAGTGGGGGTCAAAGAGTGGCCACAAATGTGTGGTTTGTGAACGGTTCCAATTTCTAGAAACCGCGGCCAAACGGCGACGGATGACCTTAATGAGTCTCCATCGGTTTCTACGCATGCTCTCTAACTAGACGTCGGAATCAACGCGTCTAATAACACGCCACACTACGGCAACCAAACCACACCGCGAGCACCGCGAGCACCGCGAGGCCGCGCAGGACAGGCACCCTTTCTAGGTCCACCGGCCTACGTCCTGCCGGCTTGACTCATCGTGCGAGCAAACCACTGTTTTATTTACAAGTCCGCCCACGGCTTTAGGACATCGCCTTTCCGGGGCTGCCGCTGTCGAGGCCCAAGCGCGCTGTGACGCCCAAAGTGCCAGCATTGTGCCAGCCAAAGAGGGTCATCGGCTTGGTGACGACAGCAGTAGCCCCGAGGCAGCGTGTCTGCGGCCGCGCGCCGCGCGCCGCGCCAGGCCTGGATCACCTCACCAGCTCAGTGACGGCCCTGCTGACGGTGAAGAGGCCGACGGGGACCTCGTGCATCCAGTCCGAGAGCGGCGCCGTGACGGGCACCTTGGGGCCGCCGGGGGCGTAGTTGTGGTGGCCGAAGTGGTACAGCGAGGACGCGCCGGCCACGCCGACGGCCTCCATCACCGCGATCTGCGTCGTGCGGACGTGGAACGGGAAGTTTTTGTTGGCCTTGGACGGCCTCGTCAGCACCTGCAAACAGCCAGGCGCTGTTAACCATAACACGAAGAACCGCCACCAAGAACAAACTCCGCGTGCTCCGTGTAACGCACCAGGAACTGCAAGTGCCCCAGGAAGGCGATGGTGTGCAGCACGGCGTACACGACGCTCTCGCGCACCCACTTGTCGATGAGACTGTTGGCCGACATGATGAAGCAGGGGCCCGCCACGAACCACAGCGTGGCCAGCAGGTTGAACGGGTAGTAGAACGTGGCCTTCTCGGGGTAGTGCTTGAGCGTGAACACGGTGGAGTACACGAACATCCACCACGCCACGATGCGCAGCGCCATGAGGCCGTAGCCCGCCGGCGACTCGAACAAGTACAGCACCTCGCCCGGGTCGAAGAACTGCGCGGCGAAGCGGTCACCAGTGAATAAAGCGATTGGTCAACCCGAGGTGCCAACCCCGAGGTGCCAACCCCGAGGTGCCAACCCCAGCGACACTCACCTCCCTCTCGTAAATGAAGAGCGACACGTAGGTGACGACGTAGAGGCACATGAAGATGGTGAGCTTGATGCTGGAGCCGACGCGAAGCCGACCCCTCGTCACCGTAAAGCCCTTGGCCAGCAGGAGGAGGAGGAGCAGGAACGTTGTCTCGCTGCCGGCCTCCAGCAACCGGCCTGCAAGCAAACATTCAATCGGCTCAAAAATCTAGAGTTTGGTGGAAGGAGAATGCAATGCAGCGACCGAGGAGACAATCACTCGTTATTTTTGACTTAAGAAAACGAATATGGAGCGTGTGCTGATAATACTGGGACCGAATGCCGCCCCTCGGCAGGGACGCTGACGATGGCGGTGGACTTGGACACTAACCGAGCTGCCTGGTCCGGGGAAAGCCCACCCCGTCCAAGGCATAGCGGATGTAGGAGATGCTCTGGAACATGACGCCCAGCGCCTGCAGCGTCACGGAGGCCACGAAGATCTTGTACGTGGCATGCAGCAGCTGGCGGGAGCGCAGTTCCACTGGAGAAACAAAACAATGCTATTTAGTCTGAATGCCGAAAGCACCAACGCGGGACTAGTGGGGCCGGGGCCACTCTCACCCGTGCACATGACGATGGCGACGATCATGAGCAGGTAACAGATGGAGAAGAACATGAGCGTCGGTAAGATATCTGCGGAAGCAAAGATAGTAAGCTAAATGAGTCACGTGGGACTTCCCCCTGGAGCACTGATAGGCACTCCCCACTGGCTGGGCAGTGCTGGGCTGACTCACAGAATTCGTCGGCGGAGAAGTGCTCGTGCCAGTAGTCCCCCGGCGGCCCGTTGGTCATCAAGAAGCGGTAGCGCAGGTTGAGCCCCTGAGAGAAGAGAAGGAGAGAGGCCGTCAAAGTCTTTGTGCACAAAGCAGAGCGGAGCAGAGCCACGTCACAGCCTAGCCGCCCCCGTGAGCCGCGAAGCCAGGCGAGGCACAGCCGGTTGGCGGCCGAGCCTGGCCGAGCACACCCCGGAGTCCCGGAGTCCCGGCCACCCCGTCGAGGTGCTCCGGTCGGCAAGGGAGGCCTGGCCAGGCCTCAGCGTCACCCTCACCTTGGTAGCGTTGCAGTTGCTGATGGCCAGAAACCACCACCGCTCCCTTGCCGACCGGAACCTCCTGACGCTGTGGCAGGTGAGGATGTGCCTGCGGACCACGGGGGCCTGCTTGCGGCCGCGCGGCGCCCCGCCGGCCCCGGCCCCGGCCGCGCTGGACGGCGACGTCGTCGAGTTGCCCTGCTTGGGCAGCGGCGGCACGGTGGTCAGCACGCATCCCGAGTCGGCTCGCAGCTCCGTCAGGTTCACCACCTGGTTCTGCGCCACGCTCAGCACGGACTCCTTCTGCTCGCATGTCTGTGGGCAGAGGAGGCGTCAGTGTCCAGGTCGCCGGCGAGCAGGGCCTCTGCGTCCGCGTGGCCGCTCACCTTGTTGCTCTTGTACACGGCCGGCCATTGCCTGCTCACGTCGTGGTACAGCAGCAGGTTCTGCGTGGCGTACTCCTGCGAACAGCACAGCAATGTGGCCACAGTGGTCGATAACGTGTACTTAAGGACGAACTCTGGGCCGCCGGGCCGCCAGGCCGCCAGTCTCACGCCACGAGGATCAATTCCATCCGGTTTACAGTGCCGCGACGCGACCACGCGACCCCACTTCCCGCCCCTTTTTCCTCCTTCGGAAGCGCCTCGGCAGACGGAAAGGAGGGAACCAAGGGCCAAGTCGAAGGTGGAGGTGGGCCCGCGCGTCCGCGCCGCGGAACGGATTTCGTGGGCGGCCTGTCGCCTTTACCTTATCGTACTCGATCTGGTACTCGAAGGTGCCGTCGTCCGACAGGAAGCAGAAGCGCGCCAAGAAGGCCCAGTTCTGCAACAAGCGTTCACACACAGTGCTTGAAAAGTGCTGAAATCTCATCTGTGTTGTTGTTTTTGTTTCCGTTATTTGTTCTGACCCGATGCTACTGTAAAACTTATCAGTCTATAGGGCGACACTGCGCGGCCCGATGTGGCACGCCGAGACTGAATAATGTAATGAGCATGCATTGACTTCTCAAGTGGCTGTGGCGCCCCCTGCCGCCCCCTGGCGCCGTGCCCTCGGCCTTGCCTGGCCGGGCCTGGCCATACGGCCCGCGACTGCGACAGCCAAATGGAGGCGCCCGGCTGGCCCTGCACAAGCACAATCCAATAGCCCCCCACGCTGGACAGGGACCTTGAAGTAAAAGGACCACCCCCACCGCACCGCCACCGCAGCTACCCCAAGGCGGCAGGCCCCGCACGCGGCCGTGAAACTCCACGGCGACCGGCGTCGCGCCGCCCGACTCACCTCCGGTGTCACCAGGTGACCCTCCTCGTACTTGGCGCCGGTGCGATGTAGCAGCACCAGCACGAAGGCCACCTTGAGCAGGGGCAGCAGAGGCGGGAGCTTGCGCGTCATGGTGCGTCATCGTCGCGACGCGGGGAAGAGCCTCACCCTCCCTGGGGGCTGCGCCGGGGGGCCCCTCCGAGGGCACCGCGCGGCATGGCCCTCACGGCCCTCACGGCCACCACGGCCACCACGGCCACCACAGCGTTCCGCGGATGCGCGGCCTCCTCGCGGGCACGCATTTGGCGCGCGAACCGTGGACGACGGCGAGGTGCCTCCAGAGACCCCGGCACTCCCGGCGGCGCGGCGCTGTTCGCCGTGGACGGACAAACAGTGGCGCGGAGCGCGGAGCCGTGAGCGCGGCGCGTGGCGAGGCGGCGAGGCGCTTAGACTGGGGGCGAGCCATCGATCCTCGCTCAGCGCCGCGCCGCCCAGTCGCCCAGTCGCTAGGCAACCCTGCCAGCCACAACAGCTACCCCTACCACACCACAGCCAGCACAGCCCCAGACACCCCAGAGTCCCAAAGAGCGCGGCGCCCCCGCGACCCCCGCGCAATGGAATGGCAAGAACTCCACCCACCCGGCCGGCGCCAAGTGCCAAAAGTGCAGTGGTGCGGCGCTCGCGCGCGCGACGGAGCCTTTCGCGTGTTTTCAAACGCAACCAAAGGAAAATCAATGGCCCCGCCGCTGCTGATGGGTTCCACTGTCCTGTGCTGGAGGCCTCCGCCACACCGCGTTCCTCGCGTTCGGTCCGCTGGCCGAGTTAGCGCGGCGCGTGCCTGTAATAGTCCGGCCTGGTCGGGGCGCCCCCGCTAGCCCCCGCAAGCCCTCGGCACGACATGACCTTACCCCATTGACCACGAGGCCGCGATCGTCCCCGTGCTGCGTGCCGCGAGTTTGGTGTGCTCAACGCCTGGACGGCCCTGGGTAGGCACGCCCGCAACGCATGCCTGTGCCCGTGCTGCCTACCTCCCAGGCGGCAGGTCTGGGCGGGGCATTATACTCTCGTGACCATTGACTCCCAGGAGTACACCATCCCTAGGGACAGTGTACTCTCCTACCTCGAGAGGGGGGGAGAACATTGACCCTAGGGATAGTGTACCCCCGGGGGAGTACACCATCCCTAGGGCCAATGTACTCCCCCACTAGCAGGGGAGTACTTGGTCCCTAGGGATATTGTACTCCCATACCAGCATGGGAGTACATGTTCTCCCCTTCCAAGAGAAGGGTTGGGTCAAGAGTAGGGTAAGCTCTGACGCGAGTTGAGTAAGATCTGTCAGGGCCGCCGGAAGTACTTTCTGGTGGGGAGGGGCGAAATTTTTATGAAAAATTGTTGGCTTGCCTACCGTTAAGGGGCAACACCCAATACGGTTTAGACTTCTCTAATAGTGTTCCAAATCCAGCGAGCGAAGCGAGCTTAAAGCGAAATTTCACACAATTCTAGACTTTAACACAACTTTTGCCATTTTTAGAGCTTAATCACACGCTTTATTGGTGGGCGAAGCGAGCCAAACGGCAAAATAATGGAGAAAAATTAAGAAAACCTGCGAGCGAAGCGAGCAAGAAGCCAAAAATCAAAGAATTTGCGACTTTGCTATATTTTTCTCTCTATTTCGAGCTCAAAATGGCACTTTAGTGTCTGAAAGTGGGGGGGGCGATGCCCCCCCCACCAGATTTAAAGGGGTGGCGAGTCCCCCCCCCCCCCCCCCCCACTTCCGGCGCCCTTGCCAGCGTCAAACAGCGAGGCTGTGCCAGCGTCAAACAGCGAGGCTGTGCCAGCGTCAAACAGCGAGGCTGTGCCAGCGTCAAACAGCGAGGCTGTGCCAGCGTCAAACAGCGAGGCTGTGCCAGCGTCAAACAGCGAGGCTGTGCCAGCGTCAAACAGCGAGGCTGTGCACAGCGAGGCTGTGCCCCCAGCGTCAAACAGCGAGGCTGTGCCAGCGTCAACAGCGAGGCTGTGCCAGCGTCAAACAGCGAGGCTGTGCCAGCGTCAAACAGCGAGGCTGTGCCAGCGTCAAACAGCGAGGCTGTGCCAGCGTCAACAGCGAGGCGTGCCAGCGTCTAACAGCGAGGCTGTGCCAGCGTCACACAGCGAGGCTGTGCCAGCGTCAAACAGCGAGGCTGTGCCAGCGTCAAACAGCGAGGCTGTGCCAGCCTCACACCGAGGCTGTGCCAGCGTCAAACAGCGAGCCTGTGCCAGCCTCACACAGCAAGGCTGTGCCAGCGTCAAACAGCGAGGCTGTGCCAGCGTCAAACAGCGAGGCTGTGCCAGCCTCACACAGCGAGGCTGTGCCAGCGTCAAACAGCGAGGCTGTGCCAGCCTCACACAGCGAGGCTGTGCCGGCGTCAAACAGCGAGCCTGTGCCAGCCTCACACAGCAAGGCTGTGCCAGCGTCAAACAGCGAGGCTGTGCCAGCGTCAAACAGCGAGGCTGTGCCAGCCTCACACAGCGAGGCTGTGCCAGCGTCAAACAGCGAGGCTGTGCCAGCGTCAAACAGCGAGGCTGTGCCAGCGTCAAACAGCGAGGCTGTGCCAGCGTCACACAGCGAGGCTGTGCCAGCGTCAACACAGCGAGGCTGTGCCAGCGTCAAACAGCGAGGCTGTGCCAGCCTCACACAGCGAGGCTGTGCCAGCGTAAAACAGCGAGGCTGTGCCAGCGCTCACACAGCGAGGCTGTGCCAGCGTCAAACAGCGAGGCTGTGCCAGCCTCACACAGCGAGGCTGTGCCAGCGTCAAACAGCGAGCATGTGCCAGCCTCACACAGCGAGGCTGTGCCAGCGTCAAACAGCGAGGCTGTGCCAGCGTCAAACAGCGAGGCTGTGCCAGCGTCAAACAGCGAGGCTGTGCCAGCCTCACACAGCGAGGCTGTGCCAGCGTCAAACAGCGAGGCTGTGCCAGCCTCACACAGCGAGGCTGTGCCAGCGTCAAACAGCGAGGCTGTGCCAGCGTCAAACAGCGAGGCTGTGCCAGCGTCAAACAGCGAGGCTGTGCCAGCCTCACACAGCGAGGCTGTGCCAGCGTCAAACAGCGAGCCTGGGCCAGCGTCAAACAGCGAGGCTGTGCCAGCATCAAACAGCGAGCCTGTGCCAGCGTCACACAGCGAGGCTGTGCCAGCGTCAAACAGCGAGGCTGTGCCAGCGTCAAACAGCGAGGCTGTGCCAGCGTCAAACAGCGAGGCTGTGCCAGCGTCAAACAGCGAGGCTGTGCCAGCGTCAAACAGCGAGGCTGTGCCATGCTCACACAGCGAGGCTGTGCCAGCGTCAAACAGCGAGGCTGTGCCATGCTCACACAGCGAGGCTGTGCCAGCGTCAAACAGCGAGGCTGTGCCAGCCTCACACAGCGAGGCTGTGCCAGCGTCAAACAGCGAGGCTGTGCCAGCGTCAAACAGCGAGGCTGTGCCAGCCTCACACAGCGAGGCTGTGCCGGCGTCAAACAGCGAGGCTGTGCCAGCCTCACACAGCGAGGCTGTGCCAGCGTCAACAGCGAGGCTGTGCCAGCGTCAAACAGCGAGGCTGTGCCAGCCTCACACAGCGAGGCTGTGCCAGCGTCAAACAGCGAGGCTGTGCCAGCGTCAAACAGCGAGGCTGTGCCAGCGTCAAACAGCGAGGCTGTGCCAGCGTCAAACAGCGAGGCTGTGCCAGCCTCACACAGCGAGGCTGTGCCAGCGTCAAACAGCGAGGCTGTGCCAGCCTCACACAGCGAGGCTGTGCCAGCGTCAAACAGCGAGGCTGTGCCAGCCTCACACAGCGAGGCTGTGCCAGCGTCAAACAGCGAGGCTGTGCCAGCGTCAAACAGCGAGGCTGTGCCAGCCTCACACAGCGAGGCTGTGCCAGCGTCAAACAGCGAGGCTGTGCCAGCCTCACACAGCGAGGCTGTGCCAGCGTCAAACAGCGAGGCTGTGCCAGCGTCATACAGCGAGGCTGTGCCAGCCTCACACAGCGAGGCTGTGCCAGCGTCAAACAGCGAGGCTGTGCCAGCGTCAAACAGCGAGGCTGTGCCAGCGTCAAACAGCGAGGCTGTGCCAGCGTCAAACAGCGAGGCTGTGCCAGCCTCAACAGCGAGGCTGTGCCAGCGTCAAACAGCGAGGCTGTGCCAGCCTCACACAGCGAGGCTGTGCCAGCGTCAAACAGCGAGGCTGTGCCAGCCTCACACAGCGAGGCTGTGCCGGCGTCAAACAGCGAGGCTGTGCCAGCCTCACACAGCGAGGCTGTGCCAGCCTCACACAGCGAGGCTGTGCCAGCGTCAAACAGCGAGGCTGTGCCAGCGTCAAACAGCGAGGCTGTGCCAGCGTCAAACAGCGAGGCTGTGCCAGCGTCAAACAGCGAGGCTGTGCCAGCGTCAAACAGCGAGGCTGTGCCAGCCTCAAACAGCGAGGCTGTGCCAGCGTCAAACAGCGAGGCTGTGCCAGCGTCAAACAGCGAGGCTGTGCCAGCGTCAAACAGCGAGGCTGTGCCAGCGTCAAACAGCGAGGCTGTGCCAGCGTCAAACAGCGAGGCTGTGCCAGCGGCACACAGCGAGGCTGTGCCAGCGTCAAACAGCGAGCCTGGCCAGCGTCAAACAGCGAGGCTGTGCCAGCGTCAAACAGCGAGGCTGTGCCAGCGTCAACAGCGAGGCTGTGCCAGCGTCAAACAGCGAGGCTGTGCCAGCGTCAAACAGCGAGGCTGTGCCAGCGTCACACAGCGAGGCTGTGCCAGCGTCAACAGCGAGGCTGTGCCAGCGTCAAACAGCGAGGCTGTGCCAGCGTCAAACAGCGAGGCTGTGCCAGCCTCACACAGCGAGGCTGTGCCAGCCTCACACGCGAGGCTGTGCCAACCTCACGCAGCGAGGCTGTGCCAGCGTCAAACAGCGAGGCTGTGCCAGCCTCACACAGCGAGGCTGTCTGTGCCAGCGTCAAACAGCGAGGCTGTGCCAGCGTCAAACAGCGAGGCTGTGCCAGCGTCAAACAGCGAGGCTGTGCCAGCGTCAAACAGCGAGGCTGTGCCAGCCTCACACAGCGAGGCTGTGCCAGCGTCAAACAGCGAGGCTGTGCCAGCCTCACACAGCGAGGCTGTGCCAGCCTCACACAGCGAGGCTGTGCCAGCGTCAAACAGCGAGGCTGTGCCAGCGTCAAACAGCGAGGCTGTGCCAGCCTCACACAGCGAGGCTGTGCCAGCCTCACACAGCGAGGCTGTGCCAGCCTCACACAGCGAGGCTGTGCCAGCGTCAAACAGCGAGGCTGTGCCAGCGTCACACAGCGAGGCTGTGCCAGCGTCAAACAGCGAGGCTGTGCCAGCGTCAAACAGCGAGGCTGTGCCAGCCTCACACAG